TTGACACACGTTTATTGTAGTTGTGCATTAACTGGGAGTAAAGCGGTGGCATAGCGGTTAGCATGCTGCACTATGAACACGGTTCACCCAAACTCCATTCCTGGGCAAGGCGAACATCAGTGGTGAAAGACATCTGCCTTCACCAAACAGCACCGACCAGAGTATTGTCAAACTGTCCCCGTGACCAACGTCGAGTGAGTGGAGACACCTTGACAACCAGCAGTGGATTAATGAAGGGCTGCTCATTATCATTAATATAAGCTGTAGAAGCTCCATATTAGCACACACCTTGGGAGCAAGCACAAATGCTTCTATCCACATGAGTCGATTGTATCCGAAAGCTAAGCTATGGCTTCACTACACTCGTGTAATGCAAATATGATTCTTACAAAGGAACTTCGTCTATCTAAGCACACATAACAAAGACTCAACATCTGCCAAGGACACTTCGGCCTTTAGAGAAATGAACAAATAAAATAGGTGAAGTGTTCGGCTATGACCCTCCTGGGAAAATGTGTTCAGCTATGTGCTACGGAGAAAGGACATCACCAGAAAGGCGTTGCAGTGCTATTGACAAATGTGTTGTTGCTTTTGTTATTTGTGCTCATCTAAGGTGTGCTAATACACTCCAGCATCTGCTCGGTTTACTCAGCTGAGTTGAAGGTCATTTTAAAATGTCACCGTCGTCGGTCCAACTTTACGGCAAAATGCACTCCTGACGCTTCGCTGCTGTTTGGTGAAGCCACTTCGTGGGAACCAAATCATTCTTCTCGACACACACTGGCTGAGCGGATGAGCACACTGGCCTCTCAGACACCCAGCTGCCTACATGTTTATGCACAGAACGTTCGGGATTTAAGGCCGTGTGCAAATAGCATCGTAAAAAAAGTGTTTAACCAAAAATAAATCCCGTCGGATGCTGCTGGGGCCCACAATGCACAATTCACAGCCTGAAGATTGCGATCTCATAAGCTGGATAGGAGTCGTCTCGGTCCGTCACTCTTATGGGGTTCATAAAACTAGTACCGCTGTGTAAGAAGTCAAAGTTATGTTGCTTTGTGGAGAGACTGCCGCTCTCCATACGAATGTGGAATTTCCACCACTGTGCTGATGGTCTGGAATGGTCGTCCATGTATGGATAGCGGCTCTCACATTCGCTGGAAGCGATTTGGTGTGGCGAGGCTGGGTGTCACGACATAACCAACCGACGTGTGTTCGTATCAAAATACAGCTCAATTTAAAAAAACAGGACGAGAGACAAAAAGTGAAACACGTTACATGGACAAAAAGAGTACTGTGTACGTGGTCCCGTGTCTATAATTTAGTCAAACTGGGACAGCGTTGCCGGATCACCAAGAGTTGGAGCGTGCGCAAGTCACCAGTCTGCAGGCCTAATGGGGAGACTGGAGGAGGAACCTCTTTGGGCCTGCAGATGGGTGCGTGTAGGAGGCCGTAGATAACAACGGTGGATAACAAGCGAGGTGTTGTTATCCACTACTCCTCGATATTTTACGTGCCCCCACTCAGCAACAACATCCACCGGTGTGGTGTAGGCTTGCGCTTTTATGTCAATGATACCCCGTTCTTTATCTCGCTGTATGGTTTTGGCAGGGATGAGGCTGTTTCAGTGCTTAAGCCTGTTTTGTTTATTGAAACATATACTTCGAGGCAGCAATGTGTCCTTGAGCTAAACAGTGATACAACTGATGCTCCTATTATTGCCTTGCAGTTCGTTATTCAAGTAACCCTGGACCACGTTTGATTCAACATGACCCCCCCCCCCCCCACCCTTGTTAAGGTTTGTATCAGTAAAACTGTGAAGGTTTATGTTTGTTTACCTGAGCAAAACTGCCAGACTCATGGAGGCAAGACATGGATCTGGTGCCTTCGTTGTACCCGGCACAGACTACCACAGCTTGCCAGTCTGCCCAATAATCTAACATGTGGGACCACAGCACTGCACAATGCAGCTGCCTGTACACTAAGACCCAACTCAGGAATTACATTACAGTACTCTAGTAATTAAGTCACTACACTTGCAGTCTATAGGATTCAGAATGAACCTGGAAGTTTCCCTTTTACTTTTTAACACCTTGATACCTTGGCACAAAGGAATTTTGCATTACTCGTTTTCCCTATGACCCTGTCTGAAATCTTCAACAAAGATTTCTACTTGTCCCTTGGGTTAAACTATACTCTTAGGGACACAGGACTTTCTGTTTAATGGACAAACATTATGGATCTCATTCTCCAAGCGAATTAGGGACTTCAAAAAATCGATAAATGAATCAATTTGAAGCTGTAACTAAAAATATCCCATCTCCTCCGCCCTTTAAACTGTTAATGTTTTTTTAAATATTTAACAATTGCAGTATTAACTGCGTCGCCAATTCCTCATAGCACTAATTCCCGTAATATTTACTTAATAACCCGATTAACCAATTAACGCGTAACTAGAGTCACTATGCAATAAAACCTTCGCTTCATTACCAACATAATGCACTTTAATATAATTAAGGATAGCCTATTTTCACCAAACCTAAATAGATTCCAATTATTACGCTAATTTAACCTGCAAGTCACAAACTGACAAATCAACTCTATGAATGAAACTGGATCACGTACAGTGAGGAAAAAGTATTTGATCCCCTACTGATGTTGTACGTTTGCCCACTGACAAAGAAATGATCAGTCTATAATTTTAATGGTAGGTTTATTTGAACAGTGAGAGAAAGAATAACAACAAAAAAATCCAGAAAAACGCATGTCAAAATTTTTATAAATTGATGTGCATTTTAATCAACATCTGAATGATTCAGAGGACAACTGGGTGAAAGTGTTGTGGTCAGATAAGACCAAAATGGAGCTCTTTGGCATCAACTCAACTCGCCGTGTTTGGAGGAGGAGGAATGCTGCTTATGACCCCAAGAACACCATCCCCACCGTCAAACATGGAGGTGGAAACATTATGCTTTGGGGGTGTTTTTCTGCTAAGGGGACAGGACAACTTCACCGCATCAAAGGGACGATGGACGGGGCCATGTACCGTCAAATCTTGGGTGAGAACCTCCTTTCCTCAGCCAGGGCATTAAAAATGGGTCGTGGATGGGTATTCCAGCATGACAATGACCCAAAACACACGGCCAAGGCAACAAAGGAGTGGCTCAAGAAGAAGCACATTAAGGTCCTGGAGTGGCCTTGCCAGTCTCCAGACCTTAATCCCATAGAAAATCTGTGGAGGGAGCTGAAGGTTCGAGTTGCCAAACGTCAGCCTTGAAACCTTAATGACTTGGAGAAGATCTGCAAACAGGAGTGGGACAAAATCCCTCCTGAGATGTGTGCAAACCTGGTCGCCAATTACAAGAAACGTCTGAACTCTGTGATTGTCAACAATGGTTTTGCCACCAAGTACTAAGTCATGTTTTGCAGAGGGGTTAAATACTTATTTCCCTCATTAAAATGCAAATCAATTTATAACATTTTTGACATGCGTTTTTCTGGATTTTTTGGTTGTTATTCTGTCTCTCACTGTTTAAATAAACCTACCATTAAAATAATAGGTTGATCATTTCTTTGTCAGTGGGCAAACGTACAAAATCAGCAGGGGATCAAATACTTTTTTCCCTCACTGTATATGATTGTGCTTATGACGTCACTGCACCTACGGAACGACCTGGATCAAGAATCTCTTTGACGCGCTGAGAGTTGAGCTGCTGTTCACGCCCGATGATGCTGGGTGTAATTTCCAGGGAAAAACGTCGAATATAAAATTGTGAAATTGTTCTTGCTTTTCAACACTCAGATTTGATGAAAAACCTGATCAATTGGAATATTTTCCCACGTAACAACTTCATTTGATTGGCTCTGTCAGGTAGTGGAGGGTATAGATTAAAATAGACAAACCTACATAATCAAACGCAAACCTAATTCTCGATTGTAGTATTACAGTTTATCTTGTTTTATTTTTCCCAAATGAATTCAAATTATCGCGGTCATGTCGTGAAGAAAAAAAACATCCATACGGAACTCTCACAGCCAGCAATGACTCACCTTGTGTCAGAGAATGGCCCTGAACGATGTTGTACATATTTCTCAAACGAACTTCAGTACACACTACACCGTTCCATTTACATGCCCTGCACGAAGTGTTCATCACATCATCCAAAACCGACATTTTCAATTATCAGACCATGATGAGGCTATAAAGTTGCTAGACTTAATTGGTGGGTAGTAGCTACCTGGACTCAAACTCAGGTTTCTCAGCATTGCTGGCTCAGTGCTGACCCTTAAAAAGACATCCCGCTTTACTGTGCCCTATTCTCGATGGCAACGCACCTTGGGACTACATATTGTGAAAGGCGCTGTTTATATAAGCTTGATTATGTATTTATTAATTAAAATAGAACTGGCAAAATATCTCAAAGCAGGACCCCCATGAAATTGTGTCTTAGAACTCAGGAGGTATTTTCTAAATGACATAAAAGGTCGTGAGTTTTCTGTACTGTGATGAAGATAAGAATCAACAATATGCGTAAATGTCCATTGCATGTACAAAAGCACAGTCTTATCCAGATCACAAATGCAATGCACGTTTGGACATCTCGTTTTTAGACCACAAGCTGAAACACATGAATAAAACATGGTCAAGCAACAGGAAGCAGTGAAACAAAGACGTTAGATTGTTTTTTACCCTTATAGGACTCATCAGTATGGCAACAGTCATAAATGTTCGCTGCTACCATATGGAGAGGGCTTGTACCTTTACACGACGGGGAGCCATTATAGCTTGCTGAATTGCAAGGATGATTCCAATCTTTAAACGGTGGGTTTTCTCAACATATAGAGATGTGAATCACTGTGCTGGAGGTCAACTTTGATAATCCATGGCTCATGTATTATTTCCTTACCATCAATTATAATAAAGTGATCTTTCTCTTTCACCCATAGAGTAGTTGACGGTTATTTCACAACAACAACAACGGTGATGCCATTTAACTTACTGTGTTAAGCTCACTGATGTACTTGAGCAAGTCATCTTGTAATGTCACCCCAATATCCTTGCTCTGGAAAACATTTGGAGAGAAAACAAAAGAGAACGCCGTTAAAACACCAAACCAGGCATGTCAACACATTACAGAAATGTAATTCCACACGTCACTCACCTCTGCTGCTAAAAGCGCCACGCGCAGTCCCAAACGCCTACCGTCTCCCCCCCTCCCCCATGTATAAATTCTCACACCATTAAGGATACGACAAGGAATGTAATATAGAAGCTTCGCTTAAACAAGCTTGCCTCTTTTCTAACTTTATGTGAATCTCCAGGGTATGGGGTCACCGCCCCCCCCCCCACCCGCCCCTTCATCCTCTCCCTTTCGCACTGCCTGTGATTGTTTTTCTCATGCAGCTCGTATCCACCGACTGGAACTGTGAGGAGTATCCATAATAGAGGTTGTTTTGTGTTAGATCGCGTAAAGAATATAAATGTGCCGTTAAACCCGCCACCACCCGACACAGCCAACTAGTAAGGGTTGTCATGTAAACAGAACATGCCAATTGGTCACTAGTACAGCACACCGGTGTGTTGGGGAGCCAAGACACAACATTTACAAACTGAGTACTCAGTGACAACCCTTACTAGTTGGCTGTGTCGGGCGGTGGCGGGTTTTAACGACACATTTATATATTTACGCGATCTAACCCAAAAAAATCTCTATTATGGATAATATTGGTCGCGAAAGCCTACGTGTTAAACTGTCAGGAGTTCGCTCGACCCACAATCATTACACATCCCTACAAGAATGAGTGCCACTTTGCGGGATGGCAATGTCAAGTTGTCTTATGGAAACTGGGTCCTGCCATGGGAAGGAGGAAGTTTCCCCAACTGGCTCAGATTACAGCCCAAGGAGATGAGCACTACACCATTGTTAATTTGAGCAAGCACACAGCTGGGAATTATTTACTATTCATCTTCAATTACAAAATATCTTCAAACACAGTATCTAGGGTGTACTTGAAAGGCATATGGACAACAGTGAAACTTAAAAAAGAAATCATAATCCTAAATATAATTATGCCCCATAGTCTGCGGTACCTCCTAAATTCTGTGGGGGTTAAAATCCCAAAGTCTGTGTCTTCTCACGCATATTACAAGCTTGTAGCCCCGTGGCAATTTTTTTTTGGAACATTCTTAAAATTCCGCAAATTTTCATCGTCAATTTTCAAGTCATTATTCCGGAGCATCGCAAATTTTCGAATCAGTGAAAACAATCCCCCACATCACCATTCAATTTTGTAGAATGACTTTCTTACAATTATTTAATTTATTCCCAGGATTATTTGCTGTATACATAAGAAAACCTCTGTGTGTAGACTTATACACTCTTATCACCATTTTTCTATCCGTTATTTTCAGTAATTCTCATCAAAAAAGCATCGTGATATCTCAGACGACTCCCAACTGTTTTTATAAAACAAGCATTAACTCATGCATTCGGGAACTCTTACCCGGCTCAGGGCTCAGCATTGGCAACTCCTTAAGTGGAAAGTCACCAATCAACCCTCAAAAAGCCGCTAGATGTTGCTGGATAGACCTTTCAAAGGAATTAAAAATGTCACTCGTCAATTTAGAAACTCTAAGACAGCACACCTTATACAGCGCCCTTCTTAAAAAAAAAACTTACAATTGCTTCTCAATCCCGGAAAGTTGATGGATTTATAGCTCATCAATTGATTAAAAGGGAAAACCAAAATTTCGTGACTAAATCACTCGGTTGGCAACACTGTCAGGGATTGAACCTAAGTCCTCAAAGGATGTTGTGGTTCAATCATTTGGCATTTTCCTCATACCCTTTGAGACAATGAGCCTCTTGGACCGTCACGATTTCTTAAATGGCCAAGCTGGATTGGCTTCAACAAGAGAGGCACAGGTTCAGCTGAGCCCCGAGAGCATCTGCCCATCCCGGGGACACGTAGCTGCGGGCAGGTGATGGCCAAATGGGGCAATATTTCCTGTACATCTCAGCTGGGTGTCCTGCTCTCATTCCGCCTCCCACTGCCTACAGAGTGGATATTATTCTCATCAAAACCCCTCCCCCGGTGTGAGGGACATCTGCTCGCTACATCACTGACTCATTTCCCAGTGCCCTCTGTGCTACTTCAGCCTCACTCGCTTGTTTTGCTCTTGATTCACTTTCGTGAAAGCCCGTGCCCCTTTTAAAGGGAAAAATTCGGAAATGATGAAGAAGAAATGCTATATCACTGAATGGCTTAAACTTGTGACACATGTTTACTCAAATAAGAGTTGTAATATGGACAAGTCTATACCATGTGTTCAACTAATCACATAGCCAGATGGTACTTCTGGTTGGGTACTTGACTAACAATCAGAAAAACATGCGTTCAAATCCAGGCTAAGGCTGGATTTACCCAGCATTACTCCAGGGGCGATAAAACGAGTACCGCTTTATAAGAGAGGAGTAAGGAATTTGCTCTCCTGACTTGGCAGCCAATGGAAGAAAGCTCCATTCCACCTTCATTGGATTGAGGAGACACTTTAACTTTCTACTGGAAAGACAATCAAATTATTCTTAAAATCACAGATTATTTTTGAATGCTCGTTTGCAGTATTATTAATTCAGTAAGCCCAGGCTCATCTATGCTGTCTTACAATAAAGACATATTACGTAATAAGTGTTTAGTGCAACAGCCTTTCTTCGTGACAGATCATGAAGGCATAAGATTGTAACTTACAGGACACTATGGTCTCATGGAAAGATATATGAATAAAAACAGCCGGAAAAAAAAAACAAGATATTCAATATGTAGGATGTGTTAAACATCAGCCCAACATCCCTCCAAGGTCATTACATTTAATATACATTTTTTCGGGGAAGTGGACGGTGGTCGTTGTGGAATTTCCTCCACCAGCTCAGGGCTGGGAAAGAGGAGATGAGCACGACCTGATGGGTGAATTTGAGCTTAGTTAAATTCCACGTATATCCACAACGTTTCAAAGGGTATCAATACGGAGCGACCGATGTCCAACAAAAGCTACGCACGTTGGTGGGGGCCTTTGAGCATAGTTGCTGCATACGATGCGGTGAGTTAGTCGACACTGATCCCTGGGAGCTGTTACGCGTGCTTTTCAGGAGAACGGACACTGTTGCTGGCGTGCCTAGATTGGCTTACATTCCAGGACAAAATTGTACAAATTAAGATGCTGGTGAATGCCAGCTTTTGTTGACGTTTCTCAACGAAAAAAAAACCCCACCCCCCTCCCCAACAAAACAAAAGCATTTTTCTGAGAGAATGGCAGATTTCTTCAGGGGCATGGGAAGGAGCAGATAACAATGCCTAAATAAAAAGTCAACCATCAAAAGTGACTCTGCTCAAACCATTGATCATCTACATTGACAGCCCTGTTGCAAAGACCACATTCTATGAATCAGTTTCAGATGCAAAAAAAATTCCCAAATTTAGCATTTCCCAGGACTATTTTTACCTTCTTTTGGATTTCCGGTACATACACATGGGGAAAAAAATATAAAACCTATTAGCATGAACTATCGTGATGTCATCATTATACCTCCTTTGCCAGTACCAAAATATAACAGGGGTTTTTCTCCTTTTTTCTGGCAACAAAACAAAAAAGGGGAAAAACCCTATTATATTTTGGTACTGGCAAAGACGGTCTAATGATGTAGATGCTCAACCCGAGCCCTCATTACTTTGATAGTGGCATTGTCTTTGAGCTGTGTGACGCCTTTTGGCGTCTTCTGGTCGAGCACCAATTGGGTCGAGGCTCAAAAGAAAGCCGTCCCTTGGTGTGGACCAATCAGTTTCAAGGACAATGCCAATATGTTATCATAGTATGGTTTTTGTTTGCATTTTGACTGCAGGTATTGTGGTCAATGCAGACATGAATCCTTGTAAGAAGGTTTCAGTTTTGTTGCCAGAAAAAAGGTGGAAAACCCTATTATTATTATCGTGATGTCACCTAATGCCATGTGACACCACCTTCGGTGCGAAAAGTGCAGAAGTGGGAGAGTGGCATCACTTCTCGTTTTCAGACCGATCCAAAACAAAATGTGAATCGAGGCCTGAATTTTGGATTTCTCGGATAAAAAAAAAATTCCCCAAATCAGAAAACATTCCTACCACATTCCTATGACAGGGGTCAGTCTCTGTTTTAGACAATTTGTCTAATCTTCCCCACAAAGTGGTGCTTGTTTTATCAACCCCATAGGGAAGATGGGCAGGGTCAATCCCCATCTGAGATTTGAACTGGTGACCTTCCGATGGTGGTTGAAGTGGTCTGGAGAGCACCACCCGGCTGGAAGCCTCAGGCCATTCAATGGAGATGAGCTCTGTCCCCATGGCTCATTTGAGCAGAGGGAACGGTTGCCACCTGGCCTGGTTTTCCCAGGATCCATACTCTTTGGTTTGATTCGGTAAAGTCACGTAGGTAAAAATTAAACAACAAAAATCACGTTTCGGCCACAACACAAGCGGCCTTCATCAGGTGAAGGGATCAGGCTGTCTCGAGGACAGCGTTGGAGTGAAACACAGCCACGCTCAGACCGCGACCTTTTTTACCTACGTGACTTTACCGAATAGAACCAAAAAGTATGGATCCTTGCAGTCACGAAAGCTTTAAATCTAGAATTTTCCCAGGATCGTCCTCTGGGAAAACCTCCTGATCTATCTTGGGCATTCAAATTTCCCGGTGTTTGTCATTTGTGTAATAATGCACCACTCAAGACAATGCATTATATGTAGCTTCTCCTCCTCCTCTCAGTATTCTGAGATATTCTTTGCATCCCATGTCCCAGGTTTTTCATACCTCAGAGGGAACAACCCTAGCAGAAGGCTACTGTGGGTTAACAATATTGTACATACAGACTGTGCTTCTGACCTTTCTACTGCGTGCAACTCCTAGAAATGTGTTCCCCAATTTTCGAATAAATCTGAAAACTGTAAATGACATCACGTATATGACATCGCCGGCGTCCTTTTTATGAAGAAAAAAAAGTGTCGCGTGGAATCGGGTGACATTGATTTGTTT